CCAGGCTGGGGGAGAAGCTTTCTGAGGAGGAAGGTATTGAGACCTGGATCAGACCCTCCCCATCCTCTCATTCCCTGATTTTCCTCTGCAGACTAACCTGGGATGAGGAAGGGCCTGTGCCAGCAGGAGATGGGAAAGGGAAAAAAGTATAAACCCCCAAACCTGTCCAGTTTGTCAGAAATTTGCCTCCCAAGGGGCACAACAGGAAGGAATTGGAAGGTGAAGATGATCAAGACCTTCTTTGCCCTGGCACAGGTTGCCCAGAGAAGCTGTGGATGGACCCCTGGAAGTGTCCAAGGCCAGGCTGGATGGGTCTTGGAGCAGCCTGGGATACTGGAAGGTGTCCCTGCCCATGGCAGGGGGTGGAATGGGATGGGCTTTAAGGTCCCTTCCCATCCAAACCAGTCTGGGATTATTTTTTTTGCCCTACATGTTTTATGTACTTATTTAAACTCTTTAAACACATTCCCACACTCTAACACAGGCAAGGAGGGAGTTTTCTCTCCTGTACAGACCCCTTTAGGCTCCCTGAGGGAGCCTATTTAACATCCTGTCTGATGTTAAATAGAATTTAGATTTAACCAGAGCTGCTCAGTGCAGTCACCATCCCCAGCTTCACACCAACAAGGAATTTCTTCCAAGGGTTTTCTTCAGTTTAACTGGACTAATAATTCCCAAAGCTATTTCCATGTGCAAACACTTCCAGAGCATTTTGAGGGCTGAACACACAGCCAGGACAGGGAGACATTAACCCTGATTAAGGGCATCCTGGAAGAACCTCTTTCTATGAAGATTTGGGGGGTGCAGGGGGATTTCCCATTCCTTTGGGATCTCACTTGTGCAGATCCTCATGCAGGAAGCGATGCTGCTTCTCCACAAGAAACTCCCCCCTTGGCTTTTCCCCCTGAGCTCTGAGCTGCTGGAACTATTTGATACCAGGACAGACTCCATTACATCAGCATCTGCCATTGCCCAGGAACTGCTGGCACAGCCCTTCCCTCTCCAGTGGCTCCAGAAAAGCCTTCACTCATTTGAATTAATGCCCTTGTACCAAACTCAGACATTTCTTCTTGTGTTGTTTTCAAACTCTCTGGGAAGAATTCATTATTTTCTGAGTTTGTGTCCTCAGAAGGCTTTGATGAGCAGCAGGGTGTTCTTGTTGAAAGGGGGATTAGATCTCATGGAAAGGGAGTTGTTCCTCACCTTACAGGAACAACAGCCCCTCATTTATCCCACTGCACCCAAATCCTGCAGCAGCTTCCACTTACCCCTCAATTCACGGATACAAACAGACCTACAAACAGGTGATGCTGCTCAGAGACACCTTCCACAACTATTTACTGTAAACCAGCTTTTTTCCTCCTAAATTCTTCCCCCTTCCCATGGTTTTCCCCCCCAAATTTCACAACTGGCAACTGCAAATTCAACGTGGGCTCCAGGATGAGCACTGGGGGGGGTCTGGTTTAAACACCCACAGGTTGTTCAGCCTGAAGAAAAGTTCTGGTGCCCTCAGCCAAGTAGTTCACAGGTGAAAATGTCACCACTGACCTGCTCTCACCTGTTCTGGACTGGGAAGGCACTGGAACACTGCCCTGGACAGGCAATTCCAGGAAAAACAGGCAGGAGAGTATGGAGGACTCGTACTCAGCACATCCCATGTGTGATCCCAGTGTCTCCAGGGTCAACCAACGGCCTCCAAACACCCACAGAGTTCCCTGCTAATGGAATATCAAAGGAAAAATGCAGGTGCACAACCCAGCAGCTCCTCTCCATCCTCTCTGCACCACATCCAGCTGTGATCCTGGAAAACAGGGACACGCTGGGGGCACCGGGAGGACAAAGCTCCCCTGGGCTGCACGAGATGCCTGACCCAGGAACTGAGCCCAGGAAAGCTGCTGGGATGCCCTGACGTTTGTTCTTAGGGGTGAAGGAAACAGGCCCAAGGGAATTCACCTCCTCTCCTGCCATCCCAAGGAAGTGGCATCCAATTCCCAGGAGCGGCGTCATCCAACGCTGCATTCCTGGTGTACTTCTAGTTCCCTGACATTGTTTGACAAGAAAAGCACCTTTTATGGTTTAGGCTGTACAGAAAAGAGTGTTTTAAGACAGGTATAATAAGTGCTGTCACTGCCAAGAGCTGGAATGAGAAGTGTCACCACTGCTGGTGACAACTCCCCTCCGAGTGTTTGCAGAGCCCCAGCTGGGAAGGTGTTCTCTGCCTTCAAACACTGAAGGCCCGTCAACATGAAGCAGAATCACACCAATCTACTTAAAAATGGGCACAAAAAACCTGCATCCCCACGTAGTTTGGTCTGATTTGAACAGGGACAGGTTTGCAATTCAAGTTAAATCAACAGATTCTTACCAAAAAGCTGATTTGGACAGAATTTGTGAGGTTTTCCCATGTGGAACTCAAAGAGATGGACAGCTCTGCTCTGGAAAGTTAGACATGAAATTCAAAATCAGTGTTAAGAACACTAGTTTATCACCTGGCTGGCGCCTCCCTGATCCCAGAAATTATTATTTCTGATAAAAATCCCTGAAAACCCCAAATCCTGCCTTGCTGCTCTTCCCCTGGAAGATCACAACACCCCTAATAAATGCCACTCAAACTTCTCTCTTCCTTTTGCTCTTTTTCAGTTGATGACCTGCTGAAAGAAGCCAAAATTGGGCCAAATGGAACAATAAAATATGATGAATTTGTTCGCCTCATTTGCCTTCCCACGGTCGACTACTGAAATCCCACAGGAGGTTTGCTACAAGCAGGACCTGAAAGTTGGTTTTACTTCAATTTTTCCTACTTGGACTTCTGGATCACCTGCCTTTAAAAAGCCTTGTTTTGCCTTTATAACAGTGCTTAAACTTACACAGGTTCCCACCTCATTTCTGGAGAAACGGTGTCACAAAACGTGAGTTATTTAAATTAAACTGAGCGTGACATTCCCCTCCTGCAACACGTGGCGTGCTTTAAAAAAATAATTCTTGTTTAAAAAAATGCATCTAAGCCCGGGGATTGTGGCAGAATTGATAAGCTGTGGTGAAGGTCTCCTGGTGCCCCAAGTCAACATCCCCATCACGTGCCTGGTGCCCGGATCTGTGCCCACATTCCGGGCTGGGTGCCAAGGACACGCTCCCAGAGACAGCCTGGCAGGGAAAAGAGGGCCCAGCAAAGCTCAGCTTCTCTGCACCACCAAAAACCTCCCCAGCTCTCTGACTTCAGACTGATTAAAACCACTTGGACCCAGAGCAGTTCCTGCTGATCTTATTCCATCTCCATCTCAGCAGCCTTGGTAAGATCCATAAAGGGGTAGCTGGAATTTAGGAGAACATTCAGCAGGTTATCTCTGGAGCCAGCTGGAAAATGGCACAGAATCAGCTTTGCACAGGCAGGGCACAAGCAGCAACCTGGAAAACCCTCTGGAAGAGCCCACGTTCCTACGAGTCTGATGTGGCTTCTGCCTCCAGGAGCCCCTCCCTCTCCCTCCTCCCCTTTTTTAATCCTGAATCCCCTCACTCTTTGCTCTGTGAAATAATCACCAATTAAATCATGGCACAGCAGATCCAATGGATTAGGAAGGAATTCCTGGCTGGGAGGGTGGGGAGGCCCTGGCACAGGTTGCCCAGAGAAGCTGTGGCTGCCCCTGGATCCCTGGGAGTGTCCAAGGCCAGGCTGGAGCAATCTGGGACAGTGGGAGGTGTCCCTGCCCATGGCAGGGGCTTGGAATGAGATGATCTTTTAGATCCCTTCCAATCCCAAGCATTCCATGATTCATTTATCCCAGAACACACAAAGGTCACTGAGGAAGATCACACAAAGCTGCAGCAGCATCACCCAGGGCACAACAGGCACAAACCTGGTTAGAAACTGAAAAAAACCCCAAAGAGCAAATCTCAACTTTCCAAATCCGTGTCTCTGTAAAGGTAAAATAGGGATTATCCTCATGGAATATTACATGGTGGGGGGGAAGCACAAGAGATTCCATGACATGCCAAGTGCTGTGCAAGAAAAGGAAGGAGATCAGGGATCTTCCAGTCCTGCAGGTAAGAAAAGCAGCAGGTTTTGCCATTTGGTTTTGGCACCCCCTGATCCAGATCCAGGTCCCTGTGGATGTCACAGCAGTCCCAGACCAACCCAGGAAGCTCAGACTTGGATCCTGACACGTCCCAGCTCTGAGCAGGTCACGCTCCAAGGGGAAAGGAACTTTGCTCCCTGGAAAACTGACACACCCCTTAGTTCTTAATGAGCTCTTCCTACTCTGTGGATAGAAAATAAAGCAGGAAAAACAAATTTCTCTAAATATTCACTTGAGCAACACCCCAGAAAAGCAGCACACTTTGGATAAGAGGTGAGATTCCCTGGAAAACCAAGAGCAGGTTAAATTGAGAGCAAAAGGTGGGAATTCCCTGGTAACTCTGTTCCCACCACTCAGTTAATCCCAGTGTTGGGATAAACCCCCACGTACCTGACACTGCAGCTTTCCCACACCCTGGAGGTCATTCCCTGCCTCCAGAGCTCTCCAGAACTTTGCTCCACGAGCCCCAGGACACAGCAAACCCCTCACTGAGCATCAGCAGCTCATCACACCAGGAGTTCACTGAGAGCACTCGTTCCCAGTGGGCACCAAGAGCCAAATTCCAGCTGATCCAATCACTCCCCACTGCCCAGGACAGTGGAGAACAAATCCTTTCACACACACAGTGGAAAAGCCTGGATGTCACGGGGACTGGGCAGCTTCCAATCCCTCTGGATTACTCCAGAAAGCAGCTGTATCCCAACAGGCTGGGGAGGGAAGAACATTCCCAAAGGAAAGCTGGCAAAGAGGAATCAGACTCGGGACACACTCAGGGAACAAAGCAGGGCTGGCAGAGCTTGGAGGGACAAGAGTGAGACACCCCAAGCCACAAACAACTAAAAGCAAAGCACTCCAGGTCCAAAAGAACCACAGGAATCACCCTCTGCCCCCTCCCTCCCTTTTCTCCCCCCCTCAGGAAACACAACATAACTGAATGCTTTTTATTACATCTAAAGATTTCTACAGAAACAGGTAACATTCAATAGGTAAACCAGTTTTTTTTTTTCCAATGCATATAATAAATATTTTCACTTGGTACTTTTATACAAACTGACATTGGTCTACTATACATTTTTAAAAGCCATTTACTGGTTTGGCATGCCAAAGTATGGAAACTAGGAGAAAAGTCTTAAGGCAATGAATGACAGGTTTAAATTCATGGAATTAATGGTAATTTTTAATATTCTGCTTATATACATTTTTTCCCTTTGTTAATTAAAACAATTAACAGCAGCACTTTCGGGGACCACCAGCAATTTTCCCTTGTTAGAAATCTAAGTTCTGTTAAAAAAAAAAAAAAAAAAAAAAAAAAACAAGTTACACTGATAAAACCAAAATCTTTTCTATTTAAAATGTGCTTAAAACCCTGAAATGTTAAACTGCAATAAAAATTAACTTTTCAAACGTTCTCCTCACAGTCCTCAGCTCTGCTTTGGGAGGCAGGTCCACCAAAGTCCAAGGAAAAGCCATCAGCCATCCCATCCTTGAAAGGGTTATGGAATCTTTGCCACAGAGAGGAGGGGGGGAAGCCTGGGATTGCTGTTCCATCCCTAAGGAAGTGCTGGGAAGTTTTTAAGGGATAGTTTAGTGTGGGTTTTTCTAAAGGATGCAGGAGTGACTCAAAGCCACCCTGCTCCTCCAGGAGCTGTGTGTGCAGGGACACACACGGAGCTCTGGAACACACATCCCACTCCTCTCAGGGAAGAATTCTGGGATAAGGGACCGCTATCCTAAGGATCACAGCAACTGCCACCTGCAGGGAACGGAGCAGGAGCACAAGCCAGGACTTGTGACCTAAAGGAGCCAAGTTTTGGAGTGAGGTTTGCGGGGAATGGTGGAGAACTCAGACTGAGACTTCTACCAAGCAACGTTCACCGTGGTCAGAGGCACAGAGAATTACCCAGCTCCAGGAACACCCGGGCACGACACAGGAATACTCACAAAGCACATGGATAATACCACAAAGGAGGACTGGAGACCGTTGCTGGCCCTTCTTTGCAGAGCACTGAGGTTAAAAATGCCAGCGGGGCACTGAGAGCCTTTCCCCCCGCGGGGGGCACCGGCAGGAACTGGAAGACGCCGTCGGCCGACCTCACCTTCCCAAAACCAGGCATCAGTCACCTCATCCCGGGATACCACACACTCCCACGGTTCAGTTTGGATGCGATAACAAGATTTTAATACCAAAAAAGTGACACAAAGCTGCTCTTCGGGTCGTCTGTAACAACACAGTCAATGGAAACGTCGCCACGAGCGTCGGAAAAGCAGCCGCGGGCTCTCCCGGATTCCTGGTGTTCCAGAGCCTGGGACACGCTCCTGGAACAACCCAGGGCAGCCACACTCCAGATTTACAAAGATCATAGCAAATATGCTCTGAAGTTACCAGGTTAGTATCCATGACTACAAGGTATGAGATATATTCCTAGTGTAGGTTTAATCACTTCAAAATCAGACTGTTTAAAAAATAAGTATTTCCCATTTTCTATCCTTTTATTTATTTTTTTTTTAACTGACATTTAATAAATTATAAAATTGGTGTATGGTGAAATATATATATCAGCCAGATATGTATGAAATACACATGCATGGGAAAAACTATTTAACTCACTTTGAACTCACACACACGGATCTATAAATACATATATACACACACATATACATATAAACACAAACATTTTGTTTTGCAAAATTCAAGTCAACTATTTAGTGGCAGAGGGATGCTGTAAAAACACTAAAAACGATTTTGATGCCACATAATGTGAACCTTTCAAATAACCATACGACTGATCATACAGCAATACCTAATGCTACTTGGATTAAAGATTTTTTTTTTCTTTTTTTTTCCTTTTTTTTTAAACCTTTTTTCCTTTTTTTTTTCTTTTTTTCCTTTTTTTTTTTTTTTTAAAATCAATGCAAGATTTTCTGAGACGACTTCATAGGCAAAAGGTGGCCCTTGTCAATGCTCGAAGCGAAGAGCTGCAATCAACAGTTTTGGACATGAAAAATTCAGACAAGAATCTGCTAATTGTAGTATTCCTTAACTCTCTTTTCCTGATAAACTTGTTACCTGCACTTTCAACCAGTTATAAAAATATTTTTCATGCCAGAGGAAATATTAACTCTCTCTGACGTGGACTTTGGGACACAAGAGAATCAACTTCCTTCCCTCCCCCTTTCTCTGACTTTAAAGAATCTCCTGAAAAACTGCATTCCAGCTATTTACACATTTGTCACTCTTCAAGAAGAACAGATCAGCCCAAATGACCCATCAGTTCTAAAAAAAGATTTTTCCTATGTCATGCACAACGTTAAAAAAAAAAAAAAAAGAAACCAGGAAGTAAATATGGCTCCAAGTTCAACTGAAAAATCTGGGAAAGCAAAAAGAATTCCAAGGCCAAAGAGAGAAAACTGAATTTCGAAAGCCACTTCCCTAAAAGACTTGGATAGGGAATCCCTGGGATCCAGGTGGGTGGTTGCTTGGGTCGGGTTTTGGTTTCAGACTCACACTGAACACTGAATATTCATTGGGATGAGTGTGAACTCGGCAGCCCGAGAGCATGATCAGCTGCACAAACCATGCAAGAGTGTGCTGGCAGTTGGATTTTCTCCTTGTATTCAGTTGACAAGTTCACTTGGAAGCAGAGATTTTTGATCCACTGCAGCTAAAAGGAGGTTTTTCCAGAGGGAACAAGGCGGGCCCTGATTGCCAAGGCCGTTGCTACAGGCATGGCTAAGGGAAAAGCACAAACAGCTCCACAGATTTCAAACTGACACATGCTCAGCATTTTGCTGATTAAGATCTTAAAGTTATTGGAACAGGGTTTTATAGGAAGTTCTTAGAAAGAAAACCCTCCAGTCCAACGTGTTGACACGGGGATTTGGGGCTGGACTCCATAAAAATGTCCCACAGAGGCAGAGCCAAGGAATTCCTCAGCCTGGGATTTTGTTGAGTCTGGCCCTCAGGAATAACTGAGCCATGGAAAATGCTGAGTTGGAAGGGACCCACGAGGATCATCGAGTCCAACTCCTGCTCCTGCACAGGACACCCCAAAACCCACCACGTGCCTGAGAGTGTTGTTTACACACTCCTTGAACAGGCCTGGAGCTGTGACCACACCTTGGGGAGGCTGTTCCAGTGCTCAACAACCTTCTCCTGGGATCCAACCTAGCCCTCCCTGACTCAGCTTTCCTGCCTTTCCCTCAGGTCCTGTCACTGATGAACTTGCCACGTGCTTGATCGAAGTGTGGAATTCAAAAGTTGTCTCAATAAAGGGTCACACAGAGATGACAAAAAACTCCTAAAAAACCAAACCCACTCCTGAAAGGCTCTGTCCTGCAAACAGAAGGGAAGCAGAGCAGGGTCTACTCTGCTTTAAGCATAATAAAATCTGCACTGAACGTGGGATGGGGGAATTAAGATTCCACCACCGAAGGGAAATGTCTCCAAGAGGAGAAAAAACCCTCTCTCCCAAGCCTGAACTTTTAGAAGTTCAGCTCCTTTCCTGGTTATGTTACTGTGAGGAAAATAATGCCATTTGTGTCCAAACTAGAGGGGAAAAAAAGAAAAAGAAACTCACATGACAAATGCACAGGTGTAAAATCTTCAGCATCCATAAAAATGAACTGAAGCTCCTTGTTTTTGTTATTTTTTTTGTCGTTTTGTGTTTTTTTTTTTTTTTCTTATTTTTACCAGTGAGGCCATCTTAGGTTTATATACAAAAGTAAAACTGAAAATATACTTTTGTTCTCTGTACACGTAAATTTTTTTTTTCCCCCTAAAAAAGGAAAAAAAAAAAAAAAAAAAAAAAAAAAAAAAAAAAAAAAAAGAAAAAAAAAAAAAAACAACCAAAACCAAAACAAAACTTTGTCTTATGTTTCTAACATAAAGTAAAAACCAAGCACAAAGATTTCCTCTGTCCAAAAAGGATCAGTCCAATGAGATAATGTCTGGTATGATACCAAAGATTGATGCCGTGTCCGTGCTGCTCCTACTTGCAACGGGATGCCCATGATTCTCTCGCAGGCTGTTGGAGGAAACAAGACTGCTGTTACTGCCACTATTGCTACCATTTGTGGCTGGCAGGGAACTGCTTCCTCCTGCATTGAGCTGATCGAGAAACATCTGGGATGAAGTGTAGGGGAAAAAACGGGAGTGTAAAAGTTCTTGATCATCGGACGCGGAAACCGCCGCGGCTGCGGCGGCAAGGAGGGAGGTGTTGTAATGCTGGGGGGAAAAACAACAAGTTAAACTTCAGACACAGGACAGGTTGGATTCAGAGCAGCACAAAGTGAAGGGGTTTGTTAAGCTAAAGCTCTGCTGGGTTCGGGGGTTCACGAGGTTTGCGGCGAGGGGGGCGACACGGAGGAGTTTGAGCTCCGCGGCCCCGCGCGGCTGAAGCCAAGAGGGACGGGCTGCAGAGTCCTAAAACTGGCTTCACAATCCTAAAACTGGCTTCACAATCCTAAAACTGGCTGCAGAATATCAAAACTGGCTGCAGAATCCTAAAATTGGCTTCAGAATATCAAAACTGGCTGCAGAATCCTAAAACTGGTTTCAGGATTTCAAAATTGGCTTCAGAACCTAAAACTGGCTTCAGGATTTCAAAATTGGCTTCAGAATTTCAAAATTGGTTTCAGAATCCTAAAATTGGCTTAAAAATCCTAAAATTTGCTTCAGAATTTCAAAACTGGCTTCAGAATTTCAAAATTGGCTTCAGAATTTCAAAATTGGCTTCAGAATTTCAAAACTGGCTTCAGAATCCTAAAATTTGCTTCAGAATTGCAAAACTGCCTTGAGCATTCCAAAAGGAATTGGAAATGCTGGTGTTGGTAAGAGCAAACACTACCAAGGGAACAGGACTGGCCACACACCCAAACCAGGAAGGAAGGGGAAGCAGCAGCACTGTTTTACCTCTTAAAAAAAACTCCCTGGTAGCAAAATTCCCCAAAATTAAAAAAAAAAAAAAATATTGTGCCATCCCCTCAAAAGTCAGAGATCAACCCCAGCTGGGGAAACTCTGTGAAAAATGCATTTACAGCCAGTTTATTCCCACGGGATGGAGCCAAGGCTGTCCCAGGTTATTCTCTCTGGGGCAGCCCCTGAAAGGCAAGAGCTATCAGCAATCAGGTTTTAAATACAACTTTTCTGTGGGGCAATTTTGCTCTCAATGTTTCCTTCCACTGTGATGAAACATTCAGGCTGTTCAGCCTTGCTCCCCCACATTTCTGGACTGGCACTGTCAGTGCAGCACTCCTTGTTTCAGAGTAATTCACTTACCTGTCTTTTAGTGAATATTCCTAAATCCAAATTCTAGAGTGCAGGCTCTGCTCTTAATTAAGATATGAAAGAATCCCTCTACATTTAGTGCCATTTTCCTGCTTAGCACTGCAGGAAGGGCAGGTAAGACACCCCAGCCCCTTCTTTTCCTGGAGGAAAAGTGACCCAGCAGGACTGTCCAGAGTCCCAGGGGTGGGACCTCAGGGCTGGAAAATGAAGGAGGTGCTGCTGCACCTTCAGCCCCAGCCCAGGGTCATCCCACAAGAAAAACTGGCTGCTGAGCTTAACCCAACTATTTGTTTTTTGTTGTGCCTCATCCTTCACCTGTGTTTAGGCAATGCTTGTGTTTGGTCACAGTTTGTGTGGATAAAAGAAAGCTGCAAAAAGCTCCCTAATTTCACACCTACATCATAAATCTGCTCCTACACAGCCAGGCCAGCAAGTCCTGCCTTGGAAAAGAATGTTTGCCACAGGACTTGTTTTTTTGCCTTGACTTACCTGATTGTCTCCTGACAGGAAAGGGAAGAAATCTAAACCTGTGAAGAGATTAAAAAAAGAAAAATTAAGCTTCTCAAAACGAAAAAACAAAAGCACCTCCTCATTTCTTCACCATTTATTTTGAGATAAAACCAGCATAATATTGATGACACTTCAGATTTTTTTCACTACCAGAGATATTAACCTATTTTTTTTTTCTTTTACAATAGTCACTATTGCTTGGAGAGCTGTATTTAGAGGTGCAGAGCCAGAAGCTCACCTTGCAAGTCATAAGGCATTGGTGTCATATGGAATGGATGCCTGTAGTCTTGGATAAGTGATGTGTTGATGTAGCTGGTGTCAACAGCAGGAAGGCTTGGTGTTCTTGACACAGGAGATGCTTGATGGGGTAAATTCAAAATGCTGCAGGAAACAAAGGCTTGTTACAAACACAGAATAGTCTTGGCTTTCTTGTTGTCCCATGCAGGGGATGCTTATTTTCAAATTTAGCTCCTAATTCAAATTTAAATTTAAATTTTCCCAATTTAACTCCATGATTCAAAATGCATCAAGAACTTTGTGAAAGATGTGCAATTGTTAAATGTCAAAGCTTCACAAATGCACCTCAATGGATCTTGTAGGGAACTGGAAGAAACATGAGCAACACACGTTCCCCAGGCTTTCCCACAGGAAAACCCTTTATCAGTAGGGTTAATTCAGTCCAAGACAGGTGAAATTCAGCAAAATTAAAAGGACAGTTCAGTCTCAAAGAGCAGAAACTGAGGACTCTCCCTGTAAATGGTACTGGGATCTCTGCTCTAAATATGTTATTGATACTCCCAAGCCAGGACCAGACAATCCCAAAGGAATCCTGAGCCCCAAACCCCCCCAGGAATCAGTGGAACACCACAACACTGATACCCTACAAGGTAATCAGCAAATGAGGACAGAAAAAAAAAAGGTCTTGAGGAGTTTTAAGTGGTCACTGAGTCACTCCCATTCCTGAGGGAGGAATCACTCCAACAACAGGATCCTTCTGGGTTTAGGCTTGATTTTGATCCCTGGATATTTATGTAAACCAGGAGCTATTTCCAGCCTGGCTGCTCAGGTGGGACCAGGTTGTGGCAAACCCCAAACCCTCCCACACCACACCCTGTTTCTCCTTGCTCTCTCCAAAGGTGCTGCTTTTCCAGTTCCCTATGGAAGAAAAGTGTTTCCAGACTTGCAAAATAACAGACTTGGAAGCCACGATTTTTTTGCACCATTTTACACCATTTTCACAACTATAACTGAAATATTTCATTGTGTTGCACACTTAACAACTCAAAGCTGTGATTCCCATCTTAGGCCTTGTGAGCTGAGAGCAAACCCACGTGCTCTAAGCTACTGAATGAGGATATAACCCAAATACAGAACTTTCCAGATGTAATTTATTTTGAAATTTATGACTTCTGTCCATCATGAGCATATTCTCTCTGCACTGGCCTATTTTATCCTCACCCCTTATTATTTAATGGTGATGCTGGAGATATGGAAGGACAGCTCCTCTTGGCAGATGGCTCCTCCTCCTCCTCATCTGACGAGCTGTCGATGGTCAAATCGATCACTTCCACTTTCTTATTTTTATTTGACTGTTGGTGAGAAGACACCTGATGTTCCAAGGAAGAGCTTATGCACCCTATACAAAGTAAGTCAACAGGAAAAGCTGCAGCTTAAACCAACACTACAATCAGAACATCACAGTTTATTATAAAGCTGTAACTCAAGACGACAAAATTACACAACCCTGGTTAACTTAAAAGCCCCAAACAGGTATTGCTCAAGTACTTGTTGTCACAAATGATCATTAAAGCTACAAATATACATCTAAAAAGAAGCATTTTAAGAGCTTAAAGGACCATAATTACTCAAGGGTTCCCACTGTAGGAACTTCAGTCCACACACCCCAGAACACAACTTACCATCCACGCCGTTGTAAGATGCTGTTACTTCCTGCACCTCCTTCTTGGATCTCATGGGAGCCCAGGATCCATCCTCCTTAAACTGAATTTCATCACAATCTGTACAAAACTTCAGGATTTCCATGAACAACCTGGCCACCAAAAACATTTGATATCAGTCCTCCAAAAGAGCTCGGTTCCTTTTTTCTCCTCCAACACCTTTATTAGTCAATGCAAGTCTGAATCAGCGTTAAAACAAAAGCTTTCATTGCTCTGCCTTTCTCTCATCTGCTTCCTTGACAAAAAGGAACCATGGGAAAAATTCCAATATTATCCAAGAGGAAAATGTGCACATGTATTTCAAAGCACTGTGAGTGGGATCCTGCAGAGCTCGTGGCACAGAACTCTCCCTTTCCCAAAACAAAGGACCAACGTGAAGCAGGATAAAAAACAATCTCCTCCTCACCCATATTTACCTTTGCCAGTACTTAACTGAGGAAGCCCATCTTTAAAGGCGTCCATACAGCTGAGAATTTAAGGACTTGTATTTCCTGAAACTTCCTAACAAAAGCTGAGCTTGGGAATCTGAACTTGCAGCCTCTTCTCCTACCGGCACCTCCTAAAACTTTGGGATCCTGGCACCACATCACTGCCAGTGGGAATTCCAGCTTTGGAGCAGGACTATTCCTGTGGTTCTGCAGGAAAGAGGCAGTTCCCTCTTTCCCAGACTGAAACATTTTCTAGCAATAACCTTCTCTTTGGGATGCTCTAATTAGAGCAGCTAATCTCCAACATCTGCACCTGGCAACACAAGAAGAAATAAGGAAAATGTGTTGGGTTAATTATTCCTGCTCCTTGGCTTTACTGTTTTAGGCAGAAACCTCCAACAGGGAACCCCAGAGCTCTTGGAGCCAAAGCAGAGGACCTGGAAATCTCAGGATCCAGGAATCCAAAGCAGCCTGGGCAGCCCTGAGTGGCTCTTCAAGGCCATAAAGGAGACCCTGAGTGACCTTAAGCTGCCCAAAATGAAGCACATAATCCCTAAAAAAGACTCAAATCATTTCTGAGGGGTTTTTCTGGGGTTCTGTTTGTCTCAGGGTTTTAAGTTTTGCTTCTGATGTTTTTGTTTGTTTGTTTTGGCTTTTTCTGTTTTTGTTTTTTTTTTTGAGTCAAACATTCTGAGGTATCTTCAGAAGCCTCAACTTGTTCTCTTCCTTTATCACTCTTTGGAAAGAAGATTCTCCTCTAAGAAATTCAAATGCAAACCCAGGAATACACACCTGGCACAGACCAAGCCTAGATTTCTTTATTTTTTTGATGTTTTGCAAGGAGGCAGTACCAGGGAGTCAATCTCTGTGTCACTTTGTATAGATGGCAACTCCCCAAGTGTGAAATTGTACATGGAATTGTACATGGATTTGGAGGGCTGGCAGGATTTATTTGCTCTAATGTGTCTGCTATTAAAAAATACCAGCTTTGTGCAGTTGCTCCATTAAAAGAATATACAACGTGCTGTTTTCACCCAGGAATTCAGCACTACAGACCATGGGAAAAAAAGGCCATTTTAGGCAGGACAGCTCAAAAATTTACCCAGGATTGGAAGGAATACCTTTCATTATTATTAAATTTAATAGTTTGATGAGCAGAGTTCTTCCAGAACGTTGAATGAAGAGGTATTTGGTCATTAATTCTTCACCAACAGCAGGGAAATTAAATAATATGATGAGTGAAAACAAGTCCCAGCCAGATCACCAGGAATTCAGAGCCCTGGACGTGGACAAGGAGCAGAGGGTGTGAGGCACACCCTTGATTTGCTTTTAAGCTTTACTTACCCATCAATAATGAGATGTTCATAGGGAGCCTTCTTGTCACAGACAGGGCAAACCCAGGTTGGTTTCTTCTCGTTCATCTGAATATAGAGAGTGGCATCAAAGCACTGCAGGTGGGAACAGGTCAGGGCCCTGCAGGGGATGGTCAGACGCATCTTACCAAGCTGGAAGAGAAAAAAAACCCAAGAAAACAAGATTAAAACAAGATTGTGTTATTTTAGTATTAAATTAACCATCAAGGGTTTCCTGTCTGAAAAGGGACAGGTTGAGTTTTACTCCAGAAAACAGATCTGAGGTTTGATCAAAATATGTGGCACATCCACTGCTGCCTCATTCCTGTAGGTTTGAAATGGCATCAAAGTGAATAAAATCATGTTTTAAAGAATATTTGGTCAAGGAAACTAAGAATACAACCTTCCATATTCCTGAAACAAAATACAGGGTTCACTGAGCACCTGGAACATACCAGTGTCCTGGATGGACCAAAGAAAGAATTCTTCTTCTTTAGTATTTTACCATTAAAGTATCATTACACTGAATGCAAAATTGATCAGACAGTGAAAAGCATTTCATAATTATCTGAAATAAGTTTCCCTCTCCTCACAAACCCCAAGCAGTTGTTCTGTGGCCAAGTGCTTACACTGCAGCTTAGGAGGGGCCTGGACTGACCACACTAAAGGTAAGAAGTAGGAATGTCTAAACAAGGCTTTTCCCACATTAAAAACCAACAGAACAATTCTTTATTAAGAACTGTTTATACTGAGGAGTTTGGAGTTATATCTATTTGGCTAAAACATACACAGTTCCAGCAGTGGGTGGGAGCAGAACTGGTTTTAGGCCTGGCTCAACCCAGCCCCGTGGCCAGGCTGATCCTGAGCAGTACAAGAGGGATGCCACAGGATGGCACCAATCTCCCAATATCCCCAAACTCAAAACAATCTCAAGAACAAAGGCTCCACTCACAGGCCACCACTTCCTCCATGATGCTTTCATATTTTTTTATTCCCCTTAAGCAGAAATCCCTCCACCCCATTCCCAGCAAACCCGGGGTAGCTGCAGGATCTCGCTTGCTTTTCCTCCCTCTGGCTCTCAGTGACTGTCCCAAACTCCCCAGCAGATGGGAGGGGGGCACAGAATTCCCAGGAGAGCCCCAGGAGTGGTGGCAGAGCCTCAGCCCCAGGCAGGAGGTGCTTTTTGTGCCATGTGTTTGGCACCCCCTCCCTCCAAAGCCATGACCAAGCACATTATTTCCATCCCATAACCAACCCCAGGCACAGCCAGGCCCCCTGATCCGTGTCTGTCAGGAATCCTGAGCTCCCAGATGGTGGGTCAATGGCTCATTTGTCTTTTGGGCACAGTCAAGTCTCCCAGCTCAGGGAGCACCAAGAGTAAGGAGAGAAAACCTGGATGGTTCTCTGTGGCTCCAAATGAAAATCAGGAAGGTGAGAGACAAGTGCTGCAGGAATGACATAAATACCCATCTCCTGTGGGGAAAAAAGCAGGTTGAAACCAGGAACATTTTCCCCAGGTTTTGGTATAAAACCTGAGCCTCTGATTTCTCAGGAGCAGTTAAATTTAGCCAAAAATCAGCACATTCAGTGTTAACAAGTTGCTGCTCCTTTCCCGTTTTTGGCATTAAATTCCGGGATCAGCTCTGCCACGCTGGCCAAGTTGGGTCAGAACTGACAACAAAAAGGTCCTAAAAGGAGGGCTGCATCCCAACTTTGGGAAGCCTGTGATTCCCAGCACTGTGGCTGTTTGATTCCTGCCTCCTGGCAGCCAAAGAAACGCTGCATTAATTCCTTTTCCAAGCACACAAAACCCTTCTATCTAAAACCCGTTCTATTCTAAAAAACCCACCCAAAGCAGGAGCTCAGGATTTGTAAACAAATCCCCCCAAAACCCCCGGTAAAAGGCTACATTTGGAATTTCTGCTCAGTTAAATATTTGCTCCGGCTGCAGAGCCTGGGATTTATTTATTTGTACTTCCAGGGGGGGGAAAAAAAAAGAACATGAATTCAAGTGTCTTCCTGAAATGCAGGCTCAGTCCAGCCCCTTTGCTGCTGTATCCTGGATGGATCCAGGCAGCAGTTAAGGGCAGTTTTCCCTCCCTGGTCTCAGAGGCCTCTGTGCTATAAAAAGCTCGGGAGCAATCCAAAACAAATTCCCAGGAAGCTCCTCCTCTGTGCTGTTCTGAGGGCAAAATAAAGGTTAGAGAGACTAAACCCAGCACCCCCAGTTATTTTATTGGATAGAAATCCCAGCTAGGAGAGGGGAGAGCAGCACCCCCACACTCCCAGAGCTGAAGGAACATCCTTCTCCTCGTCCCTTCATTTCTCATTCTGCTCCTGGAGACCAAATCAGCATTTTCAGGGTGTGTTTTCAGAGCATTCAAGCTGGAGAAAACAACCACAAAAAATCCAAGACACAAAAATCCTCCCTGAGCCAAATGTTTGTGAATTATCAAGTAAAAATATGGAGGCTGTAAATGAAATTACGGTCAGACCTGAGGACAGTCTGAACTGAGGTAAAACCTTTCTGTTCACAGGCTGAAAGGTTCCACCTCTGGCCCAATGAACCTGGGATGGATTATTCCAAGAGCTGCAGTAAAATCAGGCAGCACTGAATAAGGAACACACTGGAAAAAGTCAAGTGTAACTGTTTTGTGGGCATTAAAATGACAAATATGCTCAGAATAATCTGCTATAGACTTTGTTTTGTAGGTCTCTCACAAAAACAGTGCATTTGAAAGAGGAAATTCTGGCAAAGGTGGGAATTCTGAAGAGTCACATCCTACTGTCTGATGCTGTTTTGTTGGTTTACCCCTGGCAGAACTCAGAGAGCAAAAGAGAATTTGGCATCTTTAGGCTCTGCCAAACCTGCAGTCCTAAAGGGAAAATTGGAGGGGATATTCCTGCTCTAATCCCAACCCACCTGAACTGCACCCAGAGGAAAAAAATGCACCTAAAAGTACTGCAGAGGAGCTTTTATCAGACTGGAGGCAACGAGGACAAACAGAAATGTGTCAGAAAACTCCCACGGAATGATCTGTAAACCATCACTTGGACAAATCAAATACAACTGAAGCAAAAATCTGAATTTCTACAAGAAATCTTTCCTACAGATTAACTTTACCTTCCTTATAGATTCCTTATCTTCCTTAGTGTTGATGTGGAGAAAGTCTGAAGATCATGACAGTACCCCATTTAAAGATTTATAAGAACATAACACACATATAAAAAGCAACCATGATGTTAATTGTGCTTTTTATGAAGCAGAACTCACGCCTCTAAAAGTTTATCTTGAAGAACATATTAAATAGCTGGAGAAATAAGCTCCAGTTTTGCAAGAATAAAGTCAGTTTAGATTGTTCTTGTTTAGATTTTAAAACTGAGAATTTCATGTCCAGCTCGAGCAGATTGAGCCCAGACCAGGAAACAGATGTATCCTTAATCTTGGAAAGAGGTTAAAGAGTTATACTGCCATAAAGATATTATGTCAGTCAATACACAGAGCAAGTATTCTGAAGCACTGCACCTGAAACAAGTCCCAAAAAAGTGCATATCATGTTAATATTGTGCATTTTACCACTGACAACACAAACCCACTGCATCTACTTGGTAAAAGAACATTTAGTAGGTCAAGAGACAGGTTGTCTGTGCCACTTCCACCTTCTTTGGAACTGTTTCTCCCAGTTCAAATTTGGAATAAAACAAATTTTGTTTGAAATTGCTTTCAAATTTGTTTGAAATTTGAAAATAAAGCAGGAAACTGCTTTATTTTTAGTTGAAGATTATTAAATCCTCAAAATATTGAACATAAAATCGATTTCGGATGCTCAACACTTTGACTGCAGGCACTGACTGAAGAGCTGCTTTTAACAGTCAGGTTTCCCCACCTTACCCCTGAGAGTGGTTTTATCAAATCTGCACACTCAGGTGATCAGATTGAACCAGATTTAAATGACACATTTAAATGTAAGCTTACCTATATTTTGAATAACGTCTCCAAGCTAATGGAATCCCTGTTTCCTCAGGGGCGTATCACAGGCTTTTGATGCACGGTGAGAGATAATCTTCTATCCCCACACAGTTAAACCAGGTAAACACAAGGTAAACTCTCCCACACACACGTCCCAGAACAGCCACACTTTAACCAGAATCAGTTTGGAGGGAATAAAAAAAAAGACTTACTGGGCAAAGAAGAGACACTCTTAAGCTTGTTGTTGCTATTTCACTGTCTGGATCAGCAGTCAGCTTCTCTTTAACTGTTATTTCAAAGAAGAAAAGGTTGATTTTATGTTAATTTGAAACATAAATTGGGTGATAAAGAAATAAAACAAGACTGAAACTATGTGCTAAACTTTCTACTGGAAGCCAGAGTCTGACTGTTGCTCCAGACCCACCCCAACAGACTTGACTCTCTAGAAAGCCCAGAAACAACAGGATTTAAGAAAGTGAAAAGCAGAAAAGCTCATCTTAAACCAAGATCCCTAGAAAATGTACTTGTACAGAGATGGCTTTTCTCATTTACAGGCAACTTGGCACTTGACCATTAGTTAAAATCCACCCACAAGATGAGCTACATTGATTTCACTTCTAACTTCAAGCACATGAAGTGAATGTGTTAACAACTCTCACACTCACAAGGACCACTGTAAACCCCCAAAACAGTCATCAAGTGATCCTGTGATTTAAAACTGAAAAGCAAATGGAGAAACAGGGAATCAGAAACACTCTGACAAAATCTGAGTTTTAAATAACTGCAGTAAAATATTAGAGCCTTTCATCTCTAGAGTCTTTCACCTCTCCCCATCCTCTGCTTTTACTTACAAGCTTTATAAGCAGTCACTGATTAAATGAACAAATCAGCCCCATTTTTTCCTGCTCTGAACTGGCCCTACACACTCATTCTCACCTTGTACACACAGAGTAGAAGCCACCTGGAAACTCTCTAGATTTCTGTGCCTTTAAATCAAACTGCATTAGCACAAGGTAATGCCCAGCACTGTGAAGCATTTACTGCTGGACTAATTTCTTTCTTGTGCTGTGTAAAACACATTATCTGAACATAAAAAAGTAAGAACAGTGATCAGGTGTTGGTATTTTCACCCTCTCCCTGAAAAACAAACACGCAGCAGTTTTTGCTTTCGTTTCTATTACACAAACTTAGCCCAACACGTTGTTGTCAGAGAAAACAATAAGGCAGCAAATCTCCCACTCCAGTCTGGAGGGGGTTGGGAGGAGGATTGTGCTGGACATTCTCCCTCCAGGCTCCCTGCAAACCCTGTGCCAGAGGAACAAAAACTGTGCTGATGAATCCTTTCCTCCTCAGCACCCAGGTTCAGTGTCAGGCATTTAGTTCAGCCCGAGGTGCTGAATTACCAGTTAACTGTATAAATACAGTTGTTCCATTCTGAAGAAACAAAGCCAGTATGGCTGAACTGAAAGAGATTCTCTTGCATTTTTCCCTTCCCAGTGTCAACAGGGTTCCTGGACTGGCTCCTAATCCAAACAAAGGCCTCTGAGTCTTTGAATTGGAACTGAATACAAAGAACACCACTATCAGATTCCCAAAACCCAGGGAACTGTAGGAAGTCCAAACCTCGGGTAGCACAGTGCTGTTTGAAATCTCCCTTTAAAAAGCTGTTTTCCCTGTTAAACATCAGACATACTCAGGGCTCTGGAGTGATCCGGGTTCCGAATTCCCTTCGCTCGCAACCTCTGCAGGAGCACCGTGGAGGACAACTGCTTCACCAGGTACACTGCCATGGAATAGTTCTGGGAACACAGCAAAACATCACAGGAAACACTGATTTCATCAAAAGACAGCTTGTATTTTATACCACTTGTTCTGTGTTCCTAACAGGCTCAGGACGGCAAAGTTTCCAGAGCAGAGAAACCCCCTCGTGCTGCAGGAAGTTCACAGGGCTGGAGTTTGGGATGCAACACAAGTGACTTCATGCTTTACTCAGATTTAAACTGCAAACCAAGCTATTAAAACAGCATTTAGGACACTTCTGGAAGTTTTACATCTCGTTCAGGACATGCAGCCCCTTTCAGCGGGGTAATTTCACGTTACCCCGTGTCAGTGCATCTAATTTTACAGGGATGATGTGAGGTACTGCCCCTGTGTCCATGTATTTAAGGGAAGCTGTCGGGTCAAATATTATCAGAACTTTTCCTTTTTGTTTTTTTTTCTAGTAAAAGCTTATTTTGTTTTCAAAATAGGAAAGGGAGCAGTGATGCCTCTTCCAAAGGAATACCTAAAAAGATGCATCACCTGCAGGATCTGCTACTCAGTCTGGAAGCACTGCTCATCTTTTCCTTATTCTGCTGCACTTAGCTGTGTCTGAAACAAGAACTTCACTGCTGAAGCAGAACAGCAGAAAGGCAGTGAAGGAGTTCAGGAGTTCAGAGGGGCCAGGACGTGCTCTGGAGAACCAGCCCAAGAAGTCACCGCTCCCACGTCCTGTCCTTCCCCTCCATGAGGTCGGGTCACTTCCCCACCAGCCTCAGCAGAGCTGACCCTGCCAATTTTCCTTATCCATGCCAGGGAAAAGCCATGGATGCTCCTTTCTGCCAATACACTGGGATCCAAGCAGGTTGGATGCAGAACTCCAACTCTGCCAGGCCCCCCTTCCCTCGAGGGCCGAGCTCTTCCTGGCATCGAGTTCAAACCACAGCCTGGCATTTCTGAAGCTCTGATTTTTCTTACAAGCTTCTAAAAAAGCAGGTTATAAATGTCTTTCTAAAAATGTGAGATTGTACTGTGCATTCATCAGCAACACCCCAAAATGGAAAGGACAAATCTCGTGTTCTCACATTAGGGCACATCAATTATTTTGATATAAACATTATTGGCTAAACCTGTAGCTGCATTCATACAATTTAAATTGAAAAATGAAAGGCTTCCCCCCAGCAACTGCCACATGTGTTTTCACTTAAACAAACAAAAAAAATCCATACATTTGTGACATCTACTAGGTTTTATTTAGGATGCCACCAGCATGCAAAGGCGGGGTTTCAGTAATATATCTCACCACAAAATTACTCAAATTGAAATGGCATCAGAAACACCACATTTTAAATATTTCATTCTTACAATGACTGCTTCTCACATCGTTAAAAACCACTACTGCTTTAACTTGTTTGTTTAATGCCTCAATTAGTATAGAAGTTAGAAAAATGCTAATTAACGTTGTGAAATTATTTACCGACAGCTTGAATCTACAAAGGCAGGAACTCGCCCAAGGCAGCTGGTGCAGAAGGCTCTTGAAACAGATTGTGGAAAAATCCTAGAGATGACTCCAGGAAAGGTAGAGAGCACCAGTTGGGACATGTGAGTGACTCTTGAGGGGAGGGGAAGAGGGGAATCCAATTTTTGTATTATATGGGCAGACCCAGAAATAAAATAATTCCTCACATTTAACTCTCAAAGAATCACTTTGGGATTGTGGCTCAGAATCACAGGATGGGTTGGGTTGGAAGGAGCCTTAAAACTCATCCCATTCCACCCCCTTGCACGGGCAGGGACACTTCCCACTGGACCAGGTTGCTCTCACCTGGATTTGAGCACTTCTGGCATCTAATGCTCCTGAGAAGTTACCCAATATGTTCTTTATAACTGAAATATCTGTGAAGCCTGAGAACCAACTAGTTCACAGGAGACTAACTCGGAGTCCAGGGCATTCCTCCTCCCTAAATCCTCCCTGATCTTCCCAAGACTCAGAGCAATGTCAGGATCCATCCCCTTGCATGGAGGCACTTCTGCAGTGTGAACCAAACCAGTTCTGCTACCTGCAGCTCTCATGAGAGAAAAGAAGGGGTTTTTTGAAGGATCATCCAGCCATCATTTATTCCACAATCTGGATGGAGATTGTTTTCTGCTCCACAAGAAATCCATCCCGAAATGCCCTGGTGGTGTTTTAGAGCTGCCCATTGTGCAGGACTGGGCTGTAAGCATTTTTCCAGGCTGGATCAGGAATCCTGGGCTTTGCACACTGACAAATTCTTGGACAAGGTTTCACCTCAGGACAATTCTCGGCACTTCCAATAACAGGATGGTTGCAGTGGCACCAGCACACGCTGCCCCTGGAATGCCCATCCAGCAGGTTTGGTGCCAGCACTGAAAGCACTTCACTAATTCATGGACTCATTTACTGAAGTCACTTTTTGCAGCATGTTCCAGATTTAATTAGTCCAGTGGAACATCAGCAATTTTACAACACCAATTGTAACATTCTCCCCACAGACACACGCACAAAAAAAAAAGTGATAAAACCGTGAGTTTTTAAGTATGAAATGTAAGAATGGCAGTTGTGAGAAGAGAAATGTAAAAAGGCCAATGAAATCTGCTGGGCCCTGCTGAGCTGTGATGCTTTGTGTCTACACTCACAGCTCTAAAGGGCCACTCTGTCCTGAATGTCATGTGCTGGGTACAAGTCAAAGCCAAGATAAGGTTTGTCGAGCCCCTGAAGTCAGGAAGAGCTTGAAGTCTGAAGTTTGGCCAAATCAACAAACAAAAATCTTATAGGATGTCTTGATCTCGTTATCTGAGCCCTCAGTGAGTCACAAAGGTGGGGGGGGTGGTGAAGAGGGAGAGCTCACACCACAAAAACGTGAGCGCACTGATCTGAGGGAGCACGTCCTATCTCCTGCCATCAAGGAATTCCATCAAAAGAAGGAACAGTCCAGTGCAACTGCACCAAGGGCTTTCTGCACAATTAAACCTGCTTATCTTTCAGATCTTTCAAAGCACAAACTGCCAAGGTTTGAGCAGCCACTTACTCTCCCGATCTCCGCGGTCCAGGAGACAACGATTGTGTTTGGTACCGTCGTGGACAACCTGACGAGTGAGGTAATGTTGATTGGTCTGCTGGGGCGCTTTGGTTCAACACCATTTTTGGTTGGTGGAAGGTAGCCCTGGAAATCAAAGCATTTCATCTCTCAGACACACAAAACAAAAAAAAATTCAGCGTTGCTTTTGTCTTCTTCTCACCACGCCCCTGCCCGAGCTGCGTCCCACCTGAGCCCGGCTTCGACTCAAACAGAGAGAGGGATCAGACAAAGTATCAGGTGTTTCAGAAGCTCTTTCTCCTCACAGAGAAATCCAAAATCCCTGCCCATGGAATTTTAGAAGGCCCCTCTCAGCAGTGCTACTGAACCTGCCTGGCCAACACTGCCCACTCCAACCCCCTGTGCTGCCCCGGGACTGTCACTGGGGTTTGTCAAACACACAAATACACTGTCATGGCCTTTGGAAATTAATCTTCTCCTAAGAAACAATGTACTTAATCTTTTCTAGTCATTCAAACACTCCAGAACGTGAAAACAAAGGTTAGGATAAATTTTCAGGCCAATTGCTGCCAGACAATTCCTAGTGATGCTACCCAAAAACGTGTATCAAAAGAACATCTTACTTACTGGAAGGCTGCATGGTTTCCCATTTACTTTCACACACAGATTGGGTGGGAAGTGATCTTCTTGTGGACAACTGGTTTCTGATAAACAAAACCTAAAAGCAAAGAGCTCCCATCATCTTTCACTTTTAAAGTGACTTCAAGTGACATCTCTTCCTAGAAGGAATGTTTTCCACTGAGCAAGGAAAGCACGACAGGTCTTGCTGAACACAGTCCTCCAATTAGCTGGACACATCACTGAGCAGGAAAGCCCCCCAAAATTACAAGATGGCTGTAGGTTCCTCCTCAGACTCCCTGAGTTCCACCCACTGACTGACTCCTTCCCACAGGCAGGTTCCTGCTACAAAAGACAGCTCATCCCAGTTTCTTTTCTGCCTTTTCTCCAGACCTCTTGACACAAGTCCAGAGCTTCACAAAGGACAAAAGTTAGGCTCTTCCACTGTCCTTCCTCCAGGCAGCTGTTGAGGCACAGCCATGGAACCCTGAGGCCTGTGGCAGATCTCTTAGTTCAGGCAGTTTAATTTATTTACTGAAGTTCAAACAGGCTTATTTGCTGCTGGATCCAAGACAGGACACACCCTTCCCTGTCCCAGGCCAAGATAATGGACAATAGGCAAAGGACCAAGAGCCTCTCAGCTCCCCTGGATTCCTTCCAGGGGACCTGTCCCATCCCATCAGGGTACAGCTTCTCAAGGCAGCTGCTCCCAAAAAGGGGGAGCTGCATCTGTCCCCCTTTTCCCTCATTCCCTCCTCATCCCTTTGTCCATCCAATTCCACACTGAGCCAACCCAGCTTGCTGATACAGAGGATTTCATCAACTTATAATAAACTTGTAAAAACCTCTAAAATAACCAGCAGGTTCAGACCCAGCCTGGTGATTCCCAAAGTGTTGCCTACAGAGAAGCAGCCCTTGGGTTGCCATGGCCATGGAATTCTGTGCCTGACAGCTCTGCCAGGAAAAACCCCCCTCCCTGCTTGGAGATTTTGAAGGCCCAGGCACATGGAATCTGCCAGGGGGGTTACAGGAAGGAGGATTCACACCATCTACAACCACTAACAAGAAAATCAACCAGGATGAGGCTCTTCTCCACCCTGATCTGCTGGATAACATATGGCTGATCCAGCTGAAAAACCAGCAGCACAGAGAACAGGCAGTAACACACCTACCTTAGCTGGACCTGTACTGTGAAGTCACATTTGGTCCCAGAAATATCCCTGGAAACAACAGAACACAGGTTAAAACACTGTTTTTCACAAGAGATTCATCAATATTACAATAGAGATTCCTCCAGAGTTTGCTCTAAGTTCAATGTATATAAAATACCCTTTCTGGTATCTATGGTATATATGGGGTGTGTGTGTATATATATATATATATATATGTGATATATACCACACTTTCCTGCTTCTGGTCAGTCAAACCACCACTCTCAGGACACATTAAAAGGCACAGTTTTTATTCTTCAAGGTAAATAAATCAATTACATTCCCATCTGACCTCTGCCACTCCCTTTTTTTTTTTTGTACACCGTAAATAAAATTCTGATAGGTCACGATAAAATCCCATCTTTATAGTGAATAAAGTATAAAATCCCATCTTTATAGTGAATAAAGTATAAAATACCATCTTTATAGTGAATAAATTATAAAATGCCATCTTTATAGTGAATAAAGTATAAAATGCCATCTTTACAGTGAATAAATTATAAAATACTGTCTTTATAGTGAATAAACAGAACTTAAGAAAGGATCTGGCTGGTGGCAAGGAAGGGCTGGAGGAGGTAGAGTTCTGAATTTGCACACAAGAGAAACCCACCCAAAACACCCCAAAAGTGGGGGAGTTTAATCCTCCCCTCCTCACCCCTCTGCTCCCCATCAGTTCACACGGAAAGGGGAGGAGAACTCCCCTTCCCTGAGCACTGCACACCCCTCACAGTTCAAAACTAAAGGGGTGGGATGCTAATTCCTGCTTTAATGCCTTTTTTTGTGGGAATACTGCTGGAGGCCACTCACATGGAACTGCTGATCTGCTGCACTTGCTGCGGCGTCAGAGCGAACGCGAAGCAGGTTTCTCGAAACCGCTGACTATTGTCTGAGGCTGCAAGAGAACAGAGAGCAACTTCAAAAAACCTGCACAGGGATCCATCCATTCACATCCTTTGTCATTAAACTCTCCACAAATACACTCGTTTTTACAGCCACATCTGCTCCTGTAAACAGCTTGGGAGCCAACGAGCCGCCGCTTCAACCCTCCTGTAAATAAAAACAGGATGAACAAACTTTACGTGCAGATAAAATGTACATTTGAGAAGTGGTTAAAGGAAAATATAGATTGAAAGAGCGATGCAGATAACAGCAAAGCTGAGGGGAATCAGCTTAAAACTTTTATCAGTAACTGAATGTCAAATGTTCTCTGATATCCAGTGAATTCTTAGGAATTCTCGTCCATCGCTTTTTTATGTCCTTGAACACCCAAGATCATGGATTAGCCTGTAAAAGTTCACAGAGGGACTGAAGCACAACACATGCAACTTCTCCCATTTCAGGAAGGTCTTTCATGGAGTTAAATGCACTAAAAGATATGTAATATGCCAAGAACTCCTGAGACATGCAACTATAAAATCTGCTTTCAAAGCCCTTCGTAGTGTCCCAGAACAAAACAAACACTGCTCAAGAGTTAATGCTCCTGCTGAAAATCAAAGTCATGTTAAATACCTCCAAAATAGTTCTTTTATCTAAAACAAATCCCTTCCCAGGGCTACAGGCACCGAGAATGACACACTGGCAATGAAAACAGCTTTTTAAAAAAATAAATTAAAAGAAAGAAGCATCTCCCCAGAGAACTGTTCCACACTCTCATCAGCACATACACTGAAGTGCAAGTTAAAGCAGCTTTTCATTCAATTCCATTATTCTTAATAATTTTATAAGGCTATGAATAAATATATTGTGCATTAAACACTCAATAAATGCATCAATTTTTGGTTTACTATAATGCACTTCCTGACTCAGCCCTGAGTGACAGATGAGTGAAAACTTCAGGGGGAGACTCCAGATCCTCTGTTCAAAGCAGCATGTGGTAGGTTGGAACCAACAATAGCAAAGACATTGAGTGAGTATAAATATTAACAGCAGCAATCTCCCAAAATTTACATTTCTGTCTTTCTTGCATGACAGTCCTACAATCTACACACTCATTGCATTATGTAATAGGTAATAATCATTATGTAGAATATATTTTATGTATTATAGATATCAATATAAATTATATATTATGATCAGCTGCTCCAAAGCTGGATGGGCAGGAACAGGTAACAAACTTCTGGGACAATACCAGCAACAGGAAACCTTCTAAAAACCATAAATTATTTCTATAACTTGCTATATTTTGATATCCATACATTTCCTCTCCACCAGCCATGGCAGCAAAATGTGAGAGTCTGCAGGAAACAGAAACACAATGTGCACAATTAACAATGAGAAGCTGTTTGAACATTTGGTTTTCAATATAGTTTTGCACCTATTTTTAGTTATCAATGGAAAAGTCAGAATTACATATTGTCATCAACAAAAGCTGAATTAGCAAAGCCAAAGCACTGCAGAACTGAAGGAATTCCAGGTATTACTTCCTAGTGTTCCATGGGTTTATCTGCCTGGTTTATTTTCCTCCCGTGGATTATTTGCTTTACCTCACAAATTGCCGATTTTGGCTTTGAAAAAGTTTTGGAAGGTTTTTGTCAACTTTTCCTGTGAACTCCAACACCTTTAATTAAAGGCTGCTGAACATTTCACTAATGCTACATTCATTGAAACCTTAAGAAGTCAAACAGCAGCCACCAAAATTCCAACCCCAAATTTCCCAAGTGATCCTTTTCCCTTTCACCTGCTCATCTTTTTGCTTTCTTTGGCTTTACAGCAGCTCCAAATGAAGGAATCCAGCAGGGAATATGGAAAACAGGAGGAACTGGATCAGGAAAACTATGACAGAGTTGCCATCAGGGGACAAAGATCCCAAAATTCAATCCTTTTTCCTCTCGTTAATATAAGACTTATTTTCCCTTTAGAACAATATGTGATTTTGAGAAGTGGGTTTCCAACTTCTGTATTCCCACAATCGTCAAGGTTGGAAAAGACCTCCAGGATCATCAGGTCCAACCTTCAACCAAATCCCAACTTGTCAACTAAACCATAACTAGTTTTTTGAACACTTCCACGGGGGGTGACTCCACCACTTCCCTGAAGAACTTTATTTCAATACTTCAACAGTCTCTCAGTCAAGAAATTTTTCCTAATATCCAACTCCTGCCTTGGCCAAATTAAAGCATTTCTACACTCAGTTGGGAGAAAATTTAAAAGTACATTTTTGAGTGATGCCATGGGAGCTTCCCCAGTCTCAGCTGCCCTCGTGAGCCAAGTTCTACCACGCTGGGAAGACAGGAAATAGCCACTGCTGGAACCAAAAACCTAAGGAAAAAAAGCCTCCAACATTTCTTCCTGTGGTTTGGGGTTTTTTTAATTTTCAGTGGTTTTGGTGCAGTTAATGCTGCACCATCTGCTGAAGTGGGGACATGGAGTGAGAGGGCAATGGCTTTGAGCTGAAAGAGGGTGGGTTTAGATGGGATATTGGGAAGGAATTCTTCCCTGGGAGGGCTGGAATGAATTTCCCAGAGAAGCTGTGGCTGCCCCTGGATCCCTGGAAGTGTCCAGGGCCAGGCTGGACAGGGCTTGGAGCCACCTGGGCTGGTGGAAGGTGTCCCTGCCCGTGGCTGGAACAAGATGAGCTTTAAGTCCCTTCCAACCCAAACCATCCTGGGATTCTGTGACATGCCTTTGTCTTACTGACTGTGAGTAAAATCCAGGAGCTGCTGGATCAGCGGTCCCAGTGCTGGGATGTTCCTTCAAAGCAGCACTAACCCCCACTCCGTGTTCTCCACACGTTTCTGTGCACCAGCAATCCCGGGATTCCCACGGGAGCAGGGCCAAATTGCCAAGGAGGCAGAAAAAACTTGTTAATTGGGCAAAGATGCTCCAAAAGCCAATAAAATATTGCAAAAGTCTTGACAGACAGAACAAGACAAGAACTACATCACTCTAAACTACAACAGCATCATGGTCAGGCCCTTCAACCACCACCAGGACACAACTCTGCCCCTCGGATGTGGAACCACAACTGTGGAGTTGCATCTCAAAGGAAGATAAAATATGGTTTTTCTTTGTGGTTTTCTCTAATCTTCTCCTTTAGCTTCTTTTTAGACCCTTATCTACTCCTTCTAGATGTGCTGACCCTACAAATGATGCATGAAAATTTCAACCAACCACATTAAACTGAGCTCATTTAGCAGCTTGACCATTAAACACAAAATTCCAAGTGACTGAAATGCCTCTGTGTCCAAGGACTTGAGATTTTTCAAGGAAGAGGCATTGGAAATCTGGAATTTAAGTGTAGAAAAGCTGCTGACAGATTTCTATTAATTCAGTTGGTGTAGCAGAACAGCAAACAGACCCTGGCAAGTCAAGCTCATCCTTTACTTTTAAAGTTCTGGAGTCTGATTAAAACCAGAACTATGCAAATGTATAGTTTCATATGAGAAAACCATTTTGAGGGCCAGAAACACAACCATGCCCTGCAAACAACTATTATTATTTAACAACAGAAAGGCAAAAATAGCTCTGCAATCGAAAACCAAGTGGATTAAAATAGAATTTATAATCCAATAAAGCTGAAATCAAGCCAGGACAACAGAATTAACATGGACATTCTTAAGAAAGATGCCAGGAATGGTTTTTTGGAGGGTTGGGTTTGGGTTTTTTTCCATAACTATGAATTATTAGATATTATAACCTTTTCTTTAGCAGTTTCTGAAGGGAACAGAGCTTGGAGGATGAGTTAAGAGGTTTACAGGCCATGTCTCCTTTGCAAATTCAGAAAGGAGGGATGTCTAATGGACTTTCATTAATTTAATTTCTATCTAAAGAACAGAAGTGCAGTAATTTCAAAGAAATACATGAAGCACAAGCATCACTTTAGCTTGCTGCTCAAAAATTGCCTGAATAATTCAGAAATCTGAAAGGGCACGTTTGGAGAGTGTAACACAAAGCTCTGCAAGCAGAATTATGGCTTTAAATGAGTGTCAGCAAGAACAGTTTCAGTGTACAAAATCCACATCTCATCTTACTGGGATCTCACTGGTTTGGAGGGGAGGGTTATTTCCTACTTCTTCATCCATCCAGCTTAAATTCAGGGAAGGCAATGAAGAAAATCCATGTTTTCTTGTGAACTTGTACAGGCATTAAGAACCAGCACAGGCTCAGCTCCGTTGCCTCTGCAGGTCCCAATAATTAGTAAAACACACTCAAAAATGCCTAAAATGCTGCAAAAACATGACAGAGTTTTTTCTTCCAAGCTCTTCTTTTACCAATCCCTGAATTATTCCAAGCTTTCCATCAGGTCACGATCCAAAGAGAATATGGGATTGGTGGATATTAACTGAGAGGGGCCCAATTCTGCCTTCCTGGTTGTGGAGTTCCTTAAAACATTTCATGTGAGTAAAGTTTTCAAAATCTGAGGGAAAACTATTTTAATATTTTTTAATTAACATGCTGTTAATATATAGAATGTATAATTAATAATGTAATTCATGTATATAATATATATATAATTAATATGTTTTCTAATATGTGGCAGTATCATCCACAGGTCCAAAACACTTAAAATCCTAAATAAATATATAAATAAATATACATATATATACACATAATCTATCTATCACTTATATAAGTAACAATGGTACACAAAAGGCATTTCCTACCAATTTTATTCTTTATTTTGGAAAACCCCTCCAGCACTAGAGTGAAAAAAGGAACCCAGCTTGAGTGGCTGCATTTTCTACAGCTCTAAAAATATTCTGTTCCACCTCACCAGTACCCAAGGCTAAAAATAGCTACACAATCTTTCTGCAGCAAAATACCTCTTGCTGTCTTGAGAAAAAGCCACTCTCTCCATTCCCATTCAGGAACAGCCACCTTGAAATCTTTAATGAATCTTCTGATATCACGTTGCTGAGGTGGAGACACTTCTTGATGTTACAGCAGCTGACC